TCCTCTTAGTATCCGAAGTGTTGAGGGGATAAGTAGTAGAGAGAAGCATATAGCTCTCATAGCGAGCCTTCCCAGAGTGACTATACGGGATCTTCTTAAATTCTGCGTTTGCGTTAGTATTCGCCATTATGTTTCTCACAAGAACTTATTATCCCACAAGTGAAAACACGAGAACTAATATACTTCGTCGCACGAAACGAGTATTAAGACTGAAGAAGCTCAAATGGTTTGGGCCCAGCCCAATGGGCTTCTTATAGGAAAAAGAAAAGTGGAGGGGTAGTTCTGTATGCATACAACAAATAAATTTATTTCTTAATATTTGTTAAATGATTCAGCCTAGAACGTTCTACAATTTCTCAGAACGGAGCATGTGTTCCTACAGGTTTTATGATGTCGTGGGAGTAAGCGTTATATTTGTCGAAGTAGTGGATGGGAAAATACATTTTATGGTCTTTTGCGAAAATTTCCAATCGGACTCTATTGTAGTCAAAACCGATTATATCGTCCATCCTTACATCTAAATTTATGTTTAGATAAACATATTTCTACAAATCGTTTGTGTAGGCCGCAAAGGAATGGCGTACATTTTTTCACATCTGAGAATTTATAAAAACGAAAAGAAAGAAGATTTATTCTTTTGTGATAAGGTTTATTCTTTTGTAATTGAACGGAATGCGCGAATCCTGCAGATTCCGACGGGTTTTATGTTATCGCGGGAATATGCATTATATTTGCCGAATCAGAGGATGAGAAAATGCCCTTTACATTTCTTTTGTGAACCAGAGTCCTATCCTAGTCAAAACGGATTATATTTCCTTCCACGCATCTAAATTTAGATAAACAGACAATTCTACAACACGTCTTTTGTGTAGGGCCTAAGGGAACCGCACGGAACTCGCATTTTTCACGTCTGAGAACGCGAGATATAGATATGAGAAGAAAAAGGTTTATTCTTTTATAGCAGGAATAATGTGATCCTTTAGATACCAAATTCTGCGATAAAACTAGACGAGTATATTGCCGAAAAGCGCTGGTATAGTTAGTCCCGCCTTATTTACACAGGCATTCGTGGAGGTTTCCCAAAATTTTGGAAGTTCCATGTTATATAAGAGTGTTCGAAGCTACTGCGATGTATTTTACTGTTTCCATCGCTTCGAGCAACATTCCTATTCCGTAATATTCGTGAAAGTATAAGAAGATGTCGCAGCTTTTCAAAATTGTACGTGACTGTATAATCGCAGCGTCGGTAGCAAATCCAATAATCAAACGTGGAAAATATCTGTGCGAACTCGCGAGTAATAATGATGAGAAGACATACCAGGTATGTCGATAATTACTTTCCGGTTTTTGTAACAGATGTCACTAGCCATAAGTATGCAATGTTATGATTTGATACATATGTCTTTTTATAGACATGATTTGATACATATAGTCTTTTTATAGTATTTTATAAATTCGCGGCCATGTGTAGTAGTGGCCTACTGGCGATGTTATTCGTTTGCGGGCAATTTAAAAATAATCCTTGCTTGCATGGGATTGCAGCCAAGATTGTAGAAGCGAGAAGACTCGGAGAGAATGAAGAAGTTACGATGACCGTGTTCAGGACATGCTCCTTTCCGCATTATAAGTAATTTCCTTTCGCTGTAATATAACATAAAAGAATAAGTCTAATAAATGCTGGTGTTCACGAATACGTTTTTGTGTTCTTCATTTTGTCAGTTCTCACCAATACTGTACGAAGCGGAAATCCAAAGAGCCGTTCCTGCTCGAGTATAAGGCTTCCTCGTCAACGAAATCTGCCCATGAATATAAGGAAAAATAAGTATAAGATTATTCTCTTGTAGAGCCTCGTATTTAATATCGAGTTAAATTTTAGCAAGTCGTAATAAAATAGCGAGAACTGACAAAGATATCGTCTGCAATATAAATGAAAACGGCATTGATATTAGTCATGACGACGCTGTTTACGTCACGGGTAACATCATCGAGTACGATGACAATGGAGTCGATGAAACGATGCAAGACGCAAGTGAAGCTGGTGAAACCCAGGACTTCCAAATCTCGCAGGCTATACTAGTCGAAGGTAAAAAAAGGTAAGAGAAAATATCTTATGCTCTTAGTTGTATTTTTATTCTAATTGTGTGTAAAATTTATACCTGTATAACATTTTCAATTCATATTTACAGTACAACAGGGTAGTGGATACGAACAGTCGAAAGAACATTGAAGGGACAAAAGCGAAGACCAAAAAGTGTGCGAAGCGACAACAAAAGCCGACACGGTCAACAATCGTGAGTCCTTATATAAATATATTGAAATACTCAAGGAAAAGTCGCGTAATTATAGAAAATTTAATATTCTCGGGAGGGAGTCGAATATTCGAATTCTCCCATCTCCAGAAGGAGCCAACATTACTGAATATTTAGAAAATGCTTTTCGGGAAATCCACGATTACGCGGTAAATTCGGATGGCGCGAAAAACTACGTGGGGTTGACGCTTGCTTCTTCGGACTTAACGCGGGGGCCTGCGGGTTTATCGCTTCGTCTCCTCCGTGGACGCCACCTTGTCGTGGTGCGGGAGCTTGTGTGTCCCGATGAAGTACAGAGCTATGCCGGCGGAGGTTTCGACTCCGGGCAGGTTCTACCATGCCGGAGTGGTCTGTACAGAGGGATCAGACTAAGAGCGTCCATAATACTCCTGGATGGGCAGCTGCCTCCAGGTTTTAACCAAGGTCTGGAGGGTCTCATTCGTGGGGCCCAAAGGACCCTACAGCGCGGGCAGAGCGGGTTCGTTAATCTTGGCAGGCAACCGGTCTAGTGGAAGGAAAACCCCGAAATTGCACCCGTGTTGCAGGGGCACCAAAAACCCCTGCTTCTATGGAGACATGGCGCATAAGGAGACAAACGCCCCGGTACTCGGAGCCGGGGCACGGCGGGAGGGGGCGTATAGTCCCGGCACCCCCCGTCGTCATCCAGCTACGGGCTTGACGGCGCGCGCCAGGCGGGCGCGCCGTCTGAACATGTGACTGCCCGAAGGGAGGCGTTTATGGACTGGTTGAGGCCGAGTGTGGATCGTATAGACCCACCCTCGGCCTTCAGCGGCCCAAAAAGCGCCAAAAGAAGGAAGCGCGCGGCGGAGGAATCCGCCTCGCATTTGTGGCAAGACAGGGAGATGCACTTCCCTTGCCTCGGGGGCATTAGTTCCCATCGGGGGGAGGGGAGTGCAGCTCCCTGCACGCATGGGGGAGGGGACGAACTGTCTGCCACGAAATGGGAGGAACTCTTCCCGGGGGAGGAGTTTCCCCCGGCCGAGGACGAAGAGTCCTCGGCTGGGGAGACTCCTCTCCGAAACGCGCGGGAGGGGACAGTTTCGGGGGGGGGCGACAGGGGCGCCACCAGTGGGGCCTTCCGCCCGTGCGGAGGCCCGCTGCGAAGGCGGATAGGGAACGGGATCTAGCCGAGAGGGCCCTGGAGGGTATTGATTACGACAGGACCGTCCGGGTAAATCCTTCGTTGAGGGCAGCAAAGGGGTATGGAAAACCCCTTGAGGCCCTCAACAAACATTTCAGGGGGAGCCTCCTCTGCATAGAGGAGGCCCTTGATGATTATAAGAGGCAGGCGAGGGAGGGTGGCCCGGATGGACGACTTGGGGCCCTGGAAATTCAGGTCGGGGCTTCAAGTCCGAAATCGCCCGCATTGGGCGGCTGCTGGAGAGGCTCTTGCCTTCTCCAGCGGCGGCAGCCCTGCAGGAGGTCGGAGCCGGGCAGTTTTAAAATAAAAAGGGCCAGGAATGAGGGGGTCATACTGGAGGTCCCTGGCCAGGACGGTCGGAATAAAGCCGACCGCCTGGCTAGGGATCTCCAGGATGTCTTGTGCGGGGATGCAATGGTTTCCAGGCCGGCGAGGAGGACGGAGCTCCGCCTCGTCGGCCTGGAGGACTCAGTAACCAAGCTGATGGTCCGGGCAGCTATTCTAAAAGTCTCGGGTTGTCCCCCAGATGATCTCCAGATCGGAGAGATCAGGAGATCGTTCGGGGGACTAGGGGGGGTTTGGATCCGATACCCACTGGCACCGGCCCAAAAATTAGTGGCAGCCGAGAGGCTAGTCATAGGGTGCGGAAGGGCACAAGTTAGAGTATTGGAGGACCGGCCCCTCCAGTGCTACAAGTGCCTGCACTGTGGCCATATGGCGGCGACCTGCCAGACCGATAACGGTCTGGCAGGCCGCTGTTTCAGGTGCGGAGGACCCGGATATGTGTCACAGGGGTGCACCGCTGAGGTATGCTGCCCCCTGTGCCACAAAGAGGGGAGGGAAACCGGCCACCGAATGGGTGGCCGGGTTTGTAGGGCGGTCCCTCGGACTATGCCGAAAGGAGGGGTACCTCCTCCACGCAGAAGGAGGAGGAAAAAGAAAAAGGCGGCACGCGGGGGGGCTGCGGCTGACGTTCGGCCGCAGCCTCCTGGCGATGCCGCCAACAAGGTTTTGGAACCGGTTGCTGGCCCGAGCAAGACCGGCAAGGTAGGGATGGGGGTGACGGAGGCTGGAGCGATCCAGCCTTCGTCAAAGCCTTCAACAAAGAAGGCGGGGTTCTAGGTCGGCGCGCAATGGAGCGCGGTGTTCCGCAGGGGTCGGTGCTCGGCCCTCTGCTATGGAACATCGCGTTCGACCGGTTGCTGCGAACTCCTCTCCCCCCGGGCTGCCACGTCGTCTGCTACGCGGACGACACCTTAGCGGCAGCAGGGGGGAGGAGCTGGCGGGAATCTCGCCTCTGCGCAGAGGCTGCTGTGGCATCGATGGTGGGAACCATCGAGGGCCTGAGACTGAAGGTGGCGCCCCAAAAGACTGAAGCCGTGTTCTTTCACGACGGCAGTCGAGGGGCGCCACCCGAGACCCAGGTCCTAGTAGATGGCGTCCGCATTCGCGTCGGGCCGACGATTAAATATCTCGGCCTGACGGACGGCCGGTGGGACGTTGGTCCGCACTTTAGGGATCTGGTCCCCATGGTGCGCAACGCGGGACTGGCAGTCGCTAGTCTCCAGCGCAACCTTGGGGGTACAGGATGGAGGGCTCGCCGCCTATACGCGACGGCCGTTCTGCCGATCGCATTATACGGGGCGCCAACCTGGGCGCCCCAGCTCAGCGCTTGCCGTGAGGGCCAACGAAGGCTGAGGCAGGCGCTGAGACCAATGTTTATAAGGATGTCGAGATCGTACAGAACGGTCTCGTACATGGCGGCGAGCACCCTGGCCGGCTTCCCTCCCGTAGAGTTCATTGCGGAGGAGCGCAGAGTCTTCTATTGGAGGATAAAGGAGCTCCGCGATGAGGGGGGCCTTAGGGCCAGGGATGTGCGGGCCTTAAAGTCTCAAGCCGTGGCCCGTACCCACGAGATGTGGGCGGACAAATTGTCCGACCCACGGGGGTACAGGCGTCAGACGGCGGAGGCCGTCCGCCCCTGCCTGCCAGAATTGGCAGGCAGGAGGGGATGCGGATTGTCCTTTCATCTGGTGCAGATACTGACGGGCCATGGATGTTTTGGCAAGTATCTGCACCAAATAGGAAAGGAGCCCACAACCAGATGCCATCACTGCCCCGTGCTCATGGACACGGCGCTCCACACCCTGGCCGCTTGTCCGGCCTGAAGGGGAGCGCCGTGTTCTGGCCGGGGTCATGGGGTGGCGCGACGGGGACATCTCGCTCCCCCGCATGGTGGGAGCGAGGAGGGATGGGAAGTGGCGGTCTCCTTCTGTAGGGGTGTAATGTCCAAGAAGGAGGCCGCCGAGAGGGAGCGCCGGCCACATACAACCCGTCGTCGTCGACGACGACGGGGTGGCCGACAACCCAGAGGGGGGGACCATTTAGGCGGGTCCGAGGAGACACCGGCTGAGGAGGAGGAAGGAGCCCCGACTAGCGGGGGTCCAAGACCTCCTCCTCGGCCGCCTCGGGCCCGACTCCGTCGACATGGGGGATCCGGTTCTTTTTCCACGTAGGAAGAAGATGGATCCCCCCTGGCCACGTACAGGATAGGTTAGGGGGGAGTGGTGCCCGTTTTGGGGCGGGCCCACTCTCCCAAAAAGCCCACCTCCCCGACTTTAGAGGAGGGGGGTAAGGGGTGAGGGCGGATACCCCCTCACCCCATAGGCGACACCAGAAGGCCAACCGGTCGGTCCTAGACCGACCGGCACCGCGCCCTGGATTCCCTTTGCGGAACAGGACGCGGTAAAGGATGGCGGGGGGCTCGGCAACGAGGCCCGGGGGGTTGGGGAGGGAATACGGGAGTAGTTCCCCTGACTCCCCTCCACTCGGTTCTACAAGTAGGCATCCCGCAGGGGTTTTTTAGTCAGTAAGAATCTGACATAACCCCCGACCCCCCCAAAGGGGCCGGTGGTATCCATGATGGATTTCCCTTGCGTCACCAAAAAAAAAAGGGTTTATCGCTCCGTCCCGCTCGGGATTTGACCTACAACGAGATTTGGAGCTCGTGAATTCATTAGCGCAGAGTGCCGGAGGTCATGATATTTTAGAACATTCCAAAATTAATACTTTCAATGTTGCGGCATCTTCTGGTCGTGGAAAGAAAACATATAAATTAACTCACGAAGATATAGCGAAACGCTCGATCCTTACTATAAACAACTTTGATAATTTGTACTTTCCCCGTTCGCTCGTCGCTGCGATAGTGTACAACGAACGCGGCAATGTGCGCACAGGAGAAATACATGATAATGGAATTCCGTGAGGAAGCAATACTCTATATTACAACGAGACTTAGCGGTCGAACTGACACGGAAAGCCGGTGCCTGTATACCTGAAGAAGGGTGCTGTATTCCCGAGATCGAGCGTTTCCAGCATTATCTTGCCAGTAACGATATCGTGATCGTTGTTTATTACTTTAGTTCCTTCGCATGTGGTGCGCCTCCATGTACACTGTGTTGCATCGATTCGTTCTGCGAGAGACGAAATAGAGATCCCCCTCTCTGGCACGCTATTATGCGCCAGGCCGGCTGCCCGAGCACCCAACTTATCGACGACTTTACCGACACTGCAATGGTAACACGAGCAGTGAAAGAATAATTGTTGCGTCGATAAAGACATGTATGTGAGAAAGCGGGAGAATATAATGTCTGCCACTTTTGTTTGGAGAACTTTTGTCACAATGTAAATCGTGTTATTTTTTACGTAATAATATTAAATATATAAACATAGAAAAAAATTTTATACCGTCACACATACGCGATATTGGATCTAAGTGAGAGATTTGTGCGGTGCATATATGTGACGTTGATTGCAAGCAAATTGAATTTTTTTATTAATCAAATAATTATGCGCACACACGGAAGTGTTCTTTTGTTAATATTTGGGTGGCTCTGAAAAGAGCCATTTGATGTTTGGTTCTGGAAAGAACCGTTTTAATAATCCGTCCAATGCCCTTGACGTGCAACAACTTGTTGGAGACGTGCGTCGATGGAATTGTGCAAATTCCAGAAAAATTGAGGCTCTCATCTAAGATCCTCCCATGCGTTCCTCGCGTGTGCAATTAGAGCAGCTCTTGTTCTCTCATGACCAGGATCCCATGAATTTACAATTTTTGCCCAAATATTTTCTATTAAATTAAGATCTGGGGATTTCGCTGGCCAGTTGAGAACTTCTGGGTGTTGTGCAAACCACTCTTGAACGATACGAGAGGTATGAACAGCGCTATTGTGCTGAACTAGACGAATCGTCGGCATATCCTCTTCTGCGTAGATTCTGCGAACGCTGGGGAGTAAAACGTTCTCCAGAATATCTACGTATTCGAGGGTATTCATATGCAGCGACACTTCGACTAGTTCACCTGGGCCGTGTGCACTAATCCAACCCCACATACCACAAGTGATACGTCCACTCCGATCGCGAGGAACAACATATTTTGGATTTAGACGGAGAAAATCACGGAGAGAAGAAAGGGCTTCCATACGAACTGCTGTCGATCCATCGATGAAGAAAACACCTTTTCGTCCGTCCAAATGGTACGCTCCCAATCTTCTGGCAAAACGGTGTTTATTTGCTCTCGAGCAAATGCTACATGATTATCGCGATGTGCTTCGGTCAGTGGTATCTTCCGGGCAGGACGATAACAATATATGTCGGCGTCATTTAGTCGACGTCGCGCAGTGTATGCCGAAAACGGCAAATCCAGTTGATGTACACTTTGCGACAAAGAAAGGAAAGGATTGTTGTTCGCCTCTGCCAACAAAAGTGCGTCTTCCTCCTCGGTTGATACGCGAACTCCCTTATCATATTTTCTTCTGTCGACAAGGCCCTCCTTTCCTTCTGCTTGCCATCGTCCAATCTACTTCCGCACTGTTCTTTCGGAACATGGAATGCGACTTGCGATCTCTTCATTTGTTGTACTACACTCCCCCATCCCAATAATGCGTCCACGGTCGACTTCAGTAAATATATGTTCCATGATCGTATATAAAGATACGCAATAGGACACGACTGTTAGAAGAAACAGCAATGATAAAAACAAATGCATCTCGGCGATTGTTTTTCTTTCCGCAGTTCTATATGTCCTTGCTCTTCTTTTGTTTTTGAAAGAGCGCGAAATGTAAAGACGGGAAATAAGCACGTCGGCGTAGCGAGATAAAAGATGTTGCCGATACGTTACTGCATCCGTAGAATCTATGCAAACGACGATATGCCGGCAATTCGATTATTTCAAGATAACAATGCATGAAGTTCTCAATTAGCCAGTGAAATCTGCGGATCTCAATTAAATATATAACATACGGGGAAAAATTGTAAAATCTTGCTCATGAGAGCTCATGAGAAAAATATAACTTTGGTTGCACACGCGAGGAACGCATGGGAGGATCTTAGACGGGAGCCCCAATTTTTCTGGAATTTGCACAATTCCATCGACGCACGTCTCCAACAAGTTGTTGCACGTCAAGGGCATTGGACGGATTATTAAAACGGTTCTTGTCAGAACCAAACGTCAAACGGCTCTTTTCAGAGCCACCCAAATATTAACAAAGGAACACTTCCGTGTGTGCGCATAATTATTTGATTAATGAAAAAATTCAATTTGCTTGCAATCAACGTCACATATATGCACCGCACAAATCTCTCACTTAGATCCAATATCGCGTATGTGTGACGGTATAAAATTTTTTTCTATGTTTATATATTTAATATTATTACGTAAAAAATAACACGATTTTACATTGTGACAAAAGTTCTCCAAATAAAAGTGGCAGACTTTATATTCACCCGATTTCTCACATACATGTCTTTATCGACGCAACAATTATTCTTTCACTGCTCGTGTTACTATTGCAGTGTCGATAAAGTCGTCGATAAGTTGGGCGCTCGGGCGGCCAGCCTGGCGCATAATAGTGTGCTAGAGAGGGGGACCTCCATTTCCCCTCTCGCGGAAGGAATCGATGCAACACAGTGTACGATGGTAACAGCGTACTCATCTCCCACGGGCGCGAAGCTAAAATGACTCTGAATATTATGTACTACGAAAAATCCGGGCATTACAATACAATATTAATTTTAAGAGCTGCATCAGGCAGCCTAGGTTATTGTGTACGTTGTAATAGCGGCTATAAGCCGGAAAGAGGGCATTGAGGGTGCTCAAACGCATGTCCACGGTGTCACGGCGTTCCAGCGTGCAAGGTATCAGGCATAAAATTAATACGATGTGCCGTGTATCAACGTGAATTTTACGGGTCGGTGTGTTTCGAGCTTCATCGTGCGCAAAAATTGCTCCAGGACACTTCATTTTTGAGCATCTGTCATATCCTGAGAGTTTACAGCGACTGTGGCCGTTTGCGAAACTTGAGGAACAAACACAATTGCAATGAAATTTTTGTCGTGTTTGCAACGCGTTGCAACCAATGAATCATCTATGTTATATGAAACCACTTCGATGCGACATTGGTTCATTCGACACGATGAATCCGCAGCAAATAGGAAACGAAAACGTAGTTGATGACATTGACGAAGCGACAGAAACAAGTAAGCGCATAAAAGGTCGCATCGCGTTTGTATTCTATGATTTTGAGACGCGTCAAGACGATACGATCGAAGACATAGAAAACGTTAAAACTCAGGTTGTGACGCTCTATGTTCCGCAGCAGATATGTGAAAGCTGCATGAATATAGACGATATGGCGTTGCGATGTCGTTGGTGCGAGATACGCGAATTTATATTTCGAGACAATCCGGTGAAACAATTCGTCGATTTTGTCACGAGGCCGAGGAAGAGTTTCAAACAGATTATCTGCATCGCACACAACGCAAGCGCATTCGATGCGCAATTTATCCTACGGTACTTGGTCGAGAGCGGTAATCGGGTGGAACCTAAGCTTATTTTAAACGGTACGAAGATTATATTGTTAACCGTTGGGCAAACAAAATTTATCGACAGTGTTAATTATATGCCTATGCGCTTGTCAACATTACCAAAAGCCTTCGGGTTAAAGGATACTGCAGGCAAATGCCTGTTTCCGCATTTATTTAACACTGTCGAAAATCAACATTACATCAGACCGATACTAGATGCAAGATACTATTCTCCCGAAACAATGAGACCACCTGAGCGTGAGCGATATTTAGAATGGCACGAAAATGGTGCGCAAAAACATAG